ATCTTTTCCTGTTAAATAAATAAATAAATAAATCAAATAATATCGAACATCTCTGACTTACCAAATTTTTAAACCAATTTTATTTTCACTTTCACCATTTTTTTATTCAACTGTTTGTAGTTTTAACTGTCTTTGAGTCTTTATGGAAATGTTTTTACCAGCTTGTAGCCAAGATTCTGATGTTTCTGTAGACACCAAACATGTTTATGTTAACCTAAAAGAACTTAGAGTAATTAAAGTAGAAAACCAGGGGTTTGGGCTTAAGAAATGAACGAACCAATTGGCGGGCCGAACTTTGGTCACTCGCAGGCCAGATGTGGCCCGCGGGCCGCCAGTTGAATAGCCCTGGTTTATATGGTTCACACTGATGAAGTCATGAAGTGGATTAAAACATTTGTAACAATTACAGAAAAATCAGATTTTGAGTAAAAACACCTTAAATTGATGTTTTTTCTCTGAAGCTTTTTATCTTCCCAGCTGGTAAATCTGAAATATTTGAGTTTTCCTCTTTTTAATGACGTCAGAAAACTCCTCTTTAGATCACTGGAAATAGTTTTCAGACCAAACCTCCATGAGTTTTCCTGATTCTGAAGACAAATCAAAGCAGTCTGATGTCGTTGTGAACGTGTTGGACTGAATCCTGGACTTGGTGGGACCTGACGGGTCACACAGAGTCCTGATAACAGAACCTGAAATGATGACTCAGCTGTTTTCATTGTGACTAAAGCTGGACCCTGACTGTTTATTACAGATATAATAGATCTTCCCAGTGACAGACATGTTGGTGAGTATGTGTTATTTGTTCATTCTGAGTGATGGAGGCTGATTATAAACACTTCTTCTGCAGCAGCAGGGTTTCTCCTGCTCTTACTGTGGGAGCTGTGTCGTCCTGCAGCGTGCTCAGAATGTTAAAGCTCTTTAATTCATGTTCTCTCTACCTGTACCTCACAGGTTACTGTACGTCAGGTCCATGTGTGGACTTCCTGTCCTCTTCTGGACTCTAAGTAAACCTGTTTGTGTTTACCTACACAGGTGGAAGCAGTGTGAGCAAACTGCAGGAGGTTTTAAAAAGTCACCTGTGTGAGACCAGCAAAGACAGAACCAGGTTTGAAACATCACCTGGAGTTCTTCCAGCTCGACCTGCTGCTTGTTCTCTAACAATCTCATGTGTTTGAAGTGTGTCGGAGGCGGAGCTTCTGTCCAGGTGTACTGCCTTCCTCTACCTGAGCAGGGACTCCTTCTGGACCAGTGTTCCACCTGCTAAACTAGCAGCCCTCAACCTGTCTGGTACAGTTCTGTTGGGTCCAGTGGTTCCTCCTGGTTAACGTGTGAGGGTTGGGATGAGCCTGACGAAGCCTCATCTCCACAATGATTGACAGCTGTCACATCTGACTCTGCAGCTGCCTCCAGTCAGACTCCTCATGGCTGCTAATTATACAGTTTCTGTTCCCGCGGGCCCATCCCCAGCTGGTTTTACTCACACTAACTACATTCATTGTGTTCATGTGTCAGAACATGATAAAGTGATGACAGCAACTAAAAGTGTCATCCAGTAAAAACAGCTTCTTTATTCACCAAGTTCTCATTTTCCCCTCATTAAAGGAAAAAAATCTGTTTGAAATGCCCCGGGTAACATTAGCCCTGTGCAATAAAACTATATTTATATAG